TCCTGAAGGTCAATCCGTAGATCAGACACAATACAGATTGATGATCGGATCCGTGATGTATCTGACTACGAGCAGACCCAACATCATGTTCGCAGTCTGTTAATGTGCTCAATATCAGGCTAATCCTAAACTCTCTCGTTTAATTGTTGTCAAAAGAATCTTTAGGTATCTCAAAGGTAGCCCAAAACTAGGTCTTTGGTATCATAAAAATTCTGATTTTGATTTATATGCATTTGCTTATAGCAATTATTGAGGTTGTGAACTTGACAGGAAATCAACTTCTGGGGGATGTCAGTTTTTAGGTGACCGGATGGTGTCTTGGCAGTGCAAGAAACAACAAACTGTCTCAACCTCAATGATGGAGGTGGAATATGTTGCTGCTTCTGACTGTTGCTTTCAAGTCATTTGGATTCAACATCAACTATTGGATTACGCTTTGAATTATAAAGAAACCCCTATTTTTTGCGATAACGATGTTGCTATCCAGATTGTAAAAATTGCTATCCAACACTCCAAAACCAAGCACATCGACATCAAAATTCATTTTATCAGAGATTGTTATGAGCGTTCGCTCATTCGGTTGGAGCAGATCCACACTGTTAACAATGTAGCGGATATGTTCACTAAACCGTTTAATAAAGTTCGATTCGATGTGCTGGTGTGTTTTCTAAAAATGCTACCTTTTGAGGACTGATTTTTGTTTTAGGTTAGTTTAAATTTGCGAATTTAATTTCCTTTCTCTCATATGCACAAATTTAGGGGAAGAAATAAAAACAAAAAAAAAATCAAAAAATTCAAAAATCCTAAAATAATGTTATTTTTGTTTTATTTTTTTAGAAAAATATGAAAAATCCAAAAAGAGTGTATCATGATAGCCTATCTGCAGGTGATGATATGGGAGTGATGTCAATCAAGTGATAAAAGGAAAATTCTAATTCATGTAAGGTATCAACCCTAAACTATCTAGACTCTGTGTTCAATGCGTTGGAAGGCACAAAAGATTTCAATGGACCAGACTAGGTATATATAGACATTTGAAAGGATTTGACAAATATTTGACTTAGATAGTTCCGTTTGGTCTGACAATACGACGCTCATGTAGATTGAGTAGTGAGATATACATGGGAATCTATGGGCTACACTAAGATAATCTATATCTAGAATTGTATTGTAACTTGTCCTCGATGTATGGACCCATGTCCTTAATTCTGGTACTGATAGGGTGACTGGGGAATTTCGATAATGTAGATCTGTAGAAAGTTATTTTCTTGCTTTTTTTCTGTCAGTTATATGTTGCCTCCTCTTCGTGATCAGGAAATCTGACCTGGACTGCAACATATGCAACTCTATTTCTATACATCTTATCTATGCATGTTCTTTTTGTCTATTAGTTGATGTGTTGTCTCTTCTACATGATAACATCCGACCGAGAACACAACATATGCACCATTCTATTTCTCAATCCCTCTATCCAGTTAATCATATATTTACTCCCTCTGCGTGATTGGAAAATCCGATCTGGGTGTACAACATATGTATGCTAAATCTGACTTCTCTCCTAATAATTGTCTACTCATCTAAAGAAAGGAGTACTTTGGAAGTTCTTGATTACTAGAGAATGTCAGGAAGCGGGAAACACTATCTAGCACATCTGAAATTGAACATTCAATAGGTTGTCTGTAGATCTTGCTGCTAAATTTAGGCGGACAACAATATCCTTGGTCGTCGTCAGCTAAATGGTCCCTCTAGGAGTCTTGGTCAAGAGTCTTGTCACTTGTAGTATGTCCAAACTTGTCACAAGTCTTTCGTGTGTAAGTGGACAACAATATTGGTGATTGACCAAATCTACTCATGAAAGTGGAGATACTAAAAAAGAGATTAACGTTGTCCCGGAACTTTGATCCCAAAATCATAAAAGAAATATTGGTAATGGTGAAAACAATTTTTGTTATTTTATTTTTATTTTTATTTTTATTTTTCTAAAAGTTAAGATATTAAAATTTTGGTCAAAATTAGTTTAGTTTAAATTTTTTAGAGTTTATTTTATTATAATTTTAATTTTTAAGTCCTCAAAATGTCTTATTTTTGAAACTTTGAAGTATTGGGCTTAGATTTGAAGCATCTTGGGTTTCCACCCCATGCTCTATGAGCCGTAAATGGTCTAGGTATAAATATCAGGATTCCCGGCTGATAACCCTTTTACCTTCACTTTTTGTTTGCGGCTGTGAACCCTTCATCCGGATTCTCTCACTGTTCGTCGATTCATCATCATTTTGTGTTCTTAATCTGAAATTGACTGTCATATCCTGTAGATAATGCAAAGGCGATCCCATTCATGCTAAATTAACCAATATTCGACTGTTTTAGTGGGTTTACTAGATCAAAATCTTTTGACAACATTGTTGAGGTGTTCACGGATGTTGAACAGTTCATGGCCGATGAAGCGTTTATCATCGTGAAGCTGTTTGCGATTGTGAACCCCATTTTGGACATAAACACATTTTTTTATTAAAATTCAAAATTAAAGCCTAACTAATTGATAATTGAGGAAACTTAATCTTTAATGGTTTAAATCATGTATTTTCTCACTTGGCTCGGTTTGTGTAGTTCAAAATGGCAGAATTAAAGTTTTCATACAATCACAATATTGCCACCTTCTTGATGGATCCACCAGCTGCACACAATGACTTTAAGTCTATGGTTCAAGGATTGAAGAAATGTTGCCTCGATTATGCTTTCATGTCAAACGTGATCATTTATCAAGACATTATAAAGAAATTTTGTAATAAGGTTGTTGTGCTCAAAAGGGATGATGGTGTAGACTCTGTAGAATCGATTGTTGATGGAAAGAAGATGATAGTCAATGAGCAAATCAACCGTGAAGCGTTACAGATCAATGACCAACCTAGGTTTCCATCAGAGATCTCCATGGAATAGATTGAGTAAATTGTTGAGTGAATGGGTTATGAGGGAGTGTTTCCTCAAACCATTAAGAAGCTATTGCCACCATATTGGAGATTCCTTATTCATGTTTTCATGAGTTGCATCTTAGGAAGAAGAGACGGTGCTGATGAGATCTCATTACTCAACACGAGTGTTATTGTTGCTCTTGTTGCAAGTTTCGATTTCAATTTTTCATGATACATCCTGAAAGAAATGATAGGCAATGTGGAAAGGAAAAGGAAGGATAGATTTTTGATGTTTACAAGGTTTCTTCAAATGATATTTAACAGAAAGTATTCGTAGCTTGAAAGAAACGGAGAAACCTTAGACCTGAAATCCCTTCGATCCAACACTTTTGGTCTCATGAAGCAGAATCGAAAGGGAAAGTTTATGTTTGAAGGAAAATATCCATTGGTGAAGTTTGATCAGTTTGCAGAAGTTAGTGATGCAACGAGTCTGAAGAATCCTCAGATGCTGAAGAAACTGAAGATGAGGTTATTACTGCTTCGGAACGTCAGAAAGAGCCTATTCCTCCAGTTACTATCATTGCCATGGAGCATGTGCATGTTACAAATGAAGAGGTTAATGAAGATGAAGATACAGAAGATGTTGATGAAAGTGATTTAGAGAGAGGTTTGATGGACTATGTGGGAGGAGATAATGATGATGATGATGATGATGATGATGATGAGGGTAATGATGATGAGGAATTTAAAGATCTTTTTGGAGATCTTTCTAGTTATGATAACGATGACTTATTCTTCGGTATTGAGCAAAGCTATGATATACGACTGAGAAATGAAGTCCTTGATGCTTTCTTCGACAATGTTCAAAAGACAACGCCTCCAACATCTTCATAGACGGCTAATCCTTCGACAATATATATATATATATATATATATATATATATTTGTTAGATGTGTCAGATGAGCAATAGTCATATGTGTGTGTATCCAAGTGTACCTGACGTTTGCGGCCTAATAAACGTGTGCATTCTTGGATCAATTCTTTTCTTCTACTCCTTCTTTTCTTATCAATTACTACTTGATTGTATGTTTGATCACTAGTTGGATCCTGTTTTGTGGACTTACATGTACCAAGATTTGGATAAATTGAGGGCTGTCGATCACCCGATCCACCACCCTACTGAGCCCCTTACTAAGGATCCATGAAACATCCTTCTCTAATACCCCTTTTGCAGTGCTCTCAGTAACCAGATCAACCTCCAGTTCTGTTGTCTGCTCGCTCAGACCAACATTCTCCTAACTCAAAACCTCTTCACAGTCATCCAGACACCTCGCCTCACCCACCAGTTTTGCCACTTGATCAGCCAAGCTTGCCTTCTCGAGCAGCATCGCCTCCTGCTTAGCCTCCCAACTACACTTATTAGCTTCTATCTTTACCAACTGAGCCCTCAACTCTTCGCACACTCTTTTGGTCAAAACCATACTAGAGATTCTCCATTAGGAGATGTTTTCAACGGATGCGACCAAATAAGAAAACAACCGGAGTGCGGCATAGCGCAAGCCATCGGCCATGTGTTCATCTGATAGAACCGTTAGGGCCTCAGTAGTAGCGGGAGGAAATGCATGTCGACACCACTCAAGAGCAGTGTTGTGATCGGAGACAAGGTCTTGGGCACTTTTCTTCCAATCCAGCTTGTAGGCATCCAGACAAGAAGCTAACAGAAGGGGGACAGTTGTATTCTTATCAAAAGAAGCTGATGCAATACCATGGGAAGGCGAAGACCCAGTCTTCACCTGGGCTCCTCTGGCGGTGGGTACGGGTCTGGTCTTGTTGGTGTTTCCCTCTACTATACGACCATGCGGTTCAATTAACCTATTAAGTGCCCGCTCTGGTAGTTTCGAAGGACCCTCATCGGGGGCACGGGTGGAGCTCCTGGAATCCTCAAGCAAGAAACTCATATTGTGTTTCTTGCAAAGAGGGGGTTCAGAGCTAGCGGTCTTGGCAAGATTGCCGGTAGAGTCCTCCAGAACAGCGAAGCGCCTCTTGACACGATAATGACTCTTTAGATACCCGAAAGGGGTGGGATCCTTCTAGGAAGCACCAGTGACAACGAAGTCTTGGAAATCCGACTCATCGTCACCACCGACACCATCACCAGTGGCCCCGCCTCCACCAGCGAGAGACTCATGTGTAGCCTCGATTCCTTGACCAAAAACAGGAGGTGGAATAGCTTCCATAAGGTCAACTTTGTGGCATTGAATTTTGCCCTCAAAAAGACCCTGAAGAGCCCTTTCCAAGGATATAATTTCCGCCCCACCTGGAAACAAAACGAAAACAAAAATGGTTAGCCAAAACCCTGATTTCAACGCGTTTTGCCTAAAAAGGGGGAGGACAAGGTAAAAAGAGTGTTATACCTTCCCTCTCGACACTGAACTCATGCATCTTCCCACGAGCCTTCCAAGTAGCTCTCATTCCACCGGCGGCCAAAAAGCAATCGATCCACTCCTCGCCGTTGATGCTGATTTTCTCCAAGTTGTTAGCCAGCTCCTTGTCAGCACCAAAAAGCATGGGAGCACGGCCTACATACGCCTTAACCCTTGGGTAGCAAAGCACAACAAGCTCATTATTTACCCACAAGAACTTTTCTTTCCAGTTCTTCTTGGACTTTTGGTCGTGAATAAGGGTAGGGACTCCCCTCCAGCAAGAAATGGTTCGGGTCCCAGACTGAGTAGAAGCGTTGAAGAAGTGCTTGAATACCAGAACAGTTAGTTGATGACCTCGAGCGCGACAGAGGAGCTTGAAACCTACTTTCTTGTTTATAGCAATAGGAGTTAACTCCCTAACAAAAAACCCATATTCACGGATATCCAGTTTAAAGAAGTAAGTGGTAGGCAAACGAAGACCTACCACGAATAAGGTGATCGAAATCTCGACTCTGCCCTTAGATGGGCTGTAAAGTGACACATCAAAGAGGGGAATTTGTACGCTGTGTTCGGGAATAAACCCGAATCGGAATTAAAAAGATTCTCACTCTACAACATTGAGATTTCTCCCCAGAGAACGAGAGGAATCCATGAAAGAGTTCCAATGAATAGATGAAAAGCTTTCTTTCAAATAACAACTTAAAGAAAAAAAAAAGTGTAGCAGGTGAAGAGGATGTGACAGGATAGGCAGAGGTTGAAATACCACAAAAGGGGAACGAACCATTTCCATGATTAAATGCCAAAGAATGAGGATTTCGCCCTGACAACCGCATAGGCCATCAATAGCAGTTCGCCACATGCCTGGGAATAGACCATAATAACGCTACTACATCATGAACGCAGATGCCTATTGGTCTAATGGACATCTTAATGTAACCCTGTATAGTCACATTAAACTTAACGGAAGGCCTAGATGGAATGTTACCATGCTAGTACCTTGGCCAAGACCCGATCTTGGCCCACACAATCCAACGTCAGGCTGATAGCACATTTCCCATCACAAGGAAATAACATTCAATGTGATCTCCCCATTTACCCATAGCCAATCAGAAGGCAACGAATAGCTTAGGTGGCACCCAGAACTAATGTCTCCTAGCTGTTAGTTAGAGTGGCCAAATCTCCCATTAAGATAAGGCCACATCACACGCACATAGTGTGAAGTCCCCACGATCCGTGAGTAATAGGTATAAAGGATCTTTTCCATCTCAATGAAGGGATCCATTCTCTCTCTCTCTCTCCTAGAATTAACCATAAAAACTCTCTCTAAGAAAACTAATGTGATCGTCGGAGCGACATCGCAGGAGAACACCCGGTCGTCCTTTGACGATTACTTTGTGTTGTGTTCTCAGGAGAGTTTGGATGCTAGACCTATCATCCTGCATCTCATCCCTGAGAGGACATCTCACAACAACAAGGTAGTCGCAACATTCACTAGAATGAATTAAGCCATGGTTGGAGTGGTCGATGGGCTCAATAAGAATCAACATATGCCTGGGTCAAGGCGGACAATGCTAACAAAATATTTCTCCTTGCTACAGTATGAGGATCATTGGATCTGACTCAAGGATCGTCCTGTATAGCACTTGATCAGGTGAGATTCATGGTCATGGCCTATTCGATTGTGCAGACTAAGTGAGACCCGTGGATGAGGCCCGCATGGTACGATAGAGTGGGTAAGACTAGGTGGAAATTCCCTTGAGTAAGGTATTAGATCACGTTTAGAATGAGATAACTGTATGGTCAGTGGTGGGATTAGGTGCAAGACTGCCAATATAAAGTGGTCGAATGAGTATTTTATAGCTCAGTTTAGTGGGAGGTCATTATGGAGGTAGGAGATCTCGGACAAATCAAAATTTCATATTTTTGGTTAATACGATATCATTTTCTAGATTGGTCCAATACTTAGGGGTGAGACTTGTGAGTCACCCTTGTTCTCAATTGAAGGATTCTATCACAACCCCGAACCAGACGGCAGAAACGTCCAAGGGCTATTGTGACTCAATTGAATACCATCACCATGAATATACATGAAACATAACATTATACAATACCAAGCATTGGAATATTACAGCTGGTAGCGTTTACATTCGGTACATTGATCCATAATATTACATGCCCAATGTAAATTGTTCGGTACTAATTAAAACAACAACAAAACGTTACTGAGTACATTTCTTTTTCCTTTTCGATTTACCTGTTACCTGAGATTACAAGTATTTTGAAAGAAACGTCAACATATGAAATGTTGGTGAGTTCATAAGTATTGTTTGAAATAAAGTGGTTTGTATTGTTTTGAAAATCACCAAAAAATCCGATATTTTCTGAAAAGAACTTAGTATAAAAAGTGTGAAGATCCGTAACTATGCTTGTTTGTTTCTATAAATGTAAAAGTACAATTTGTAAAACTCGGTATGTACTTGTAGGTGTGTTAATTGAAAACCCTAGGAAAACCCGATGTTTTCCTAATATTTTGCATTAATAAACTGTATCTTGTTATTTCATTACGACGAGTGTATTCGTTGAGTCCGGGTGACGTTGGATTAAGTATAGGTTGTGAATTGTTATAAACACACATTAATGAAAATGACTAGTTTACAACCATGCAAACGATCCCTTAGGCGTCTCTCGCACTATTCACTTAATCCAATCACCCAAACTTCGTGTAGCCCCACAACCGAGGAGGAAAAGAGGGTGCAAAGTCCCGATATTTTCCGTAAGTCGTTCAAGGCTATCGTGAATGCGAAGGGCCCTTAGCCCGACTCGCATTTGGTGAATTCTCGACTTTACTAGCAGCACCAGAAGGCCCTTGGGGTCCAACAGCGCAAAGCCTGTAAAAGTCCTTTTACACGAAATTAGGTCATATAAGACCCATTTACATGTAAGCGGGTTTCCTTCGAGCCTAAAGATCATGTCATTGGGCTAGCTAGGCCCAACAACCATGATTTGAAACTTTTGAGCCCAAAGATGGTGTATCGACGTCTGGTGTATTCTCACGTGTGTATTGACTTCCCGAAATTTCCGCGTGTGTAATGAAGTTTCGTCGTATTACTAATTTCGGATTCGCTATTGATTCGAAACCGAATCAATTCGTTTGATAACGATTTTTGGTGTTGAAGGTGTATTATAATTTGCCGATAGTCGAGGTGCTAGTATTTCATCATGACGGATTTATTTCTTAAAACATTAGGATGTTTCATTATTGCAGCCCCTTTCCTTTAGATAATTTACACATTTAACCCTTTGTATAAAATAAATTTCTATTTTAGTCCTCAAATCATTTTTCTTGACACTTTAGCATCCAAACTTGTGGAAAAGTTATTTTTCAGCCCAAAGTTATTTGAAAAACAGTTTTAGTCCACCAAATGAAATATTTCTCAGCTAAAACCCTTATTTTCGCAATTTTTACACTTTTGGCCCAAAATAGAAAATTTTTTGCATCTTTGGTCCCTTTTAAATATGAAAAGCATTTTTAACCCTTGAAATGGACTTAGAGCACTAGTAGTCCCCTATTTTATAGAAAAATACAGTTTTAGCCCCTCTAAATTGAAAATCTCGCATATTGGGCTTTATTCAGCCGAAAAATTCATTTTTGGCCCACTATGCTTAAAAATTTCACATTTAATCCTCCAAAGAGAATATTTCCAGAAAAATACCTTATTGAAACTGTTTTGACTCATTTCATCCATCAGAATTTGTATTTTGTCATTTTGGGCCCTTTAACTTCATATTTTTAATATTTTGAGTCCAAAAATGGGATTTTTAGCCCAATGAGTTCATTTTAACCAACTTGTTTATTTTTCTAGAAATGATTTGTGTGTAGTAATATGTTTAACACTTGTTTCATACATCCTAATGAAAATCTCGATTTTTAAGGTCTTTTGACTAGTTTCAACACCATAATCACATATAAACATGTAAATAAGCATAGAAATCATACAAAGCATACATATACTCATAGATCTACACATTTGCTTCTATTCCCCCCCCCACCCAAAACCTATAAAAAACTAAAAAATAGGGGGTATCAAGCTCACCATTGGGTGTGGTTTCGTTTTTGGAGAAAAGATGGAAGAAAATGAGGTGATTTTCGGCCCTAGCACACTTTGATGAAGATTTTGACCTTGAGGTGATTCTAGGATGCAATATCATAAGAGTGAATGAATTTAGAAGAGATTTTGATGAAGTGGAGGGAGTTAGATCATAAGTTAGACATTAACTTACCTTAGATGATGAATTTCTTTTTGATGATCCTTAGGCTTCAAGCCAAATTTTCGAGATTTTTAAATGGAGAGAGGGGATGATTCTTGAGTAATTTAGAGAGAGTTTGTGAGATGTGTGTGTTCCTTTCTTGTTCTCAGCCAAAGGAAAAAGAGGGAGAAGAGAGTGTGCATGGGAATGTGAGTAAAGCTTGGATGTATGATGAATATTAGCTTGGATACCCACAATATAATAATGAGGTGGCTAGCCTAAGTCAACCATTCTTCTTGGGTTTGCTTTGGGCCGTGATTTTGAATGAAAAATGGGATTATTGGGATTTAATGCCCCTAAGCCCATATTATAGTTAGATTGGGTGATTTTTGGCCCAAAAAAAATATAATATGATTTTTACACTTTGTTGGGCTAGTTTAGGTTTATTATGGTTTATAATATTTAACTTATTTCATTCTAGGCCCAATATGGCCCAAATTGTTGAAATAAATGGATGTGGGTCCATTTAGAGCCCATTTAAAGGTTCTAAGCCCATGGTAGTCAAATTGGAAGCTTATTGGTCCATTGAGTCCAATAAGAAAGTCCTAGTCCAAAATGGATCTAAACAAGAACTTCTAGGGTTTCCAATTGCTTGTTGACTATTTGTAGTACTTGTATGGTGTATTGGATTGAAATTTTGTTGTCATAGAGTAAGCATCATACATGCTCTTAAGTTTTTGATTCAACATCCTACTTGAGTATAGTGATTACAAGACACAAAATTTCTAGTTGTGACATCATCCCGCCGTTAGAGGGAATTTCGTCCCGAAATTATGTTTCAAAGCTAGATTTGAGAATGCTAAATTAGGTGAGGGTAGTTTTGCTTCATTTGATCTTCGCGTTCCCACGTGAATTCTGGCCCACGCTTCGCGTTCCACCGTACTTTCACGATCAGGATGCGACTTTGCTTAGTACGCTTCACCTCCCTGTCCATGATTTCAACCGGTTCTTCAACGAACAGGAGATTATCGTTGATTTCAATCTCGTCAAGGGGAATGTCGAGTGTTTCATCCGATAGACACTTCTTTTGATTAGAGACATGGAACACGGGGTGTACGTTGTTTAGCTCTGTAGGTAGTGTTTATATGCCACTGGACCTATTCGGGCGACGATCTCGAAAGGTCCAATGTATCGTGGGTTCAGCTTTCCCCGTTTTACGAAACGAATAACTGTTTTCCAGGGTGAGACTTTCAACAGTACTCCATCCCCGACCTGAAATTCTAAGGGCTTTCGCCGTTTATCGGCGTAGCTCTTTTGTCGGTCGCGCGATGCTTGTAATCGAGCTCTGATTTGAACGATCTTTTCCGTGGTTTCACGAATGATCTCCGGCCCCGTTAGTACCTTGTCCAATGTATGTGCTGGAGACTCTTGTGGTCCGTGAAGATGGTGCACTTCGTACCATAAAGGTAATGCCTCCAAATCTTTAGGGCAAACACTACGACTCCCAATTCTAGGTCATGGGTCGTATAGTTTACTTCGTGCGTCTTTAGTTGGCGGGATGCGTAAGCTATCACCCTTCCACGCTGCATGAGAACGCAACCTGAGCCCTGATTTGATGCGTCACAGTAGACCACGAAATCTTCCGTTCCCTCCGGTAGTGACAGTACCGGGGCACTACAGAGAGCTTGTTTCAGGGTTCGGAATGCGACTTCTTGTTTATCCGTCCATTTGAATGGTACGCCCTATTGTGTATGCGAGGTAAGTGGTTTGGCGATCTTAGAGAAGTTTTGAATGAATCTCCTA